GAGCAGAATCTATAATATAATAAAATCTATAATATAATCTAATAATATAATAAAAAATTACTCAATAATTAAAAAAATATATTATTTTAAATTTACTTTTTCAAAATAACACAATTATTTTTAACAGTATTTTACAACGTAAAAATATTAATTAGTAAATCAATTACATTTTTATCAATTACAAGTTTACATAATTTGTTATTGTAAAATCGAACAACACATGTCAAAATTGATAAATAATAAATGCATGAAGAAAATATCCTTGTAAATATTTATAGCTTTGCGGAAATGGCACATAAATTATCAATAGACAATTTTCTCATTTTGTCTGATGTCTCTCTGCATATAAATCAGTATTCGAGCCATAGTCTCACTTTATCTCATTCAAATTTTATATAACTTTGATTCGAAGACACACTTTAATGTCTCCGCGATCTCTTTCTTCATGTTGTGCAAAATGCACTGGAAAAAAGAAATGAAATTATAACAAGGAGATTCTGACTCACCGTATAACATACTTTATCAATCATAATTAACACTCTTGTTATCTTTTTCCTCGTGCAAGATCATCTTTCACTCGCGCGTACACCAATAAATATACGCTAACCGTTTTCGAGTTGTCACATTAAATCAGAGAATCATTGATCAATACACTAATTGACGGTACCTTTTGACTATATAGATGATTTACGAAATCAACTGTAGCTAGAATAATGAATTGATTTAAAGAATCAATCTGCCAGCCTTCGTTAGCGATCGCGATAAATTTTGACATTGGAGCTCTTTCGCATTATTAACAACTTCTTAATTAAATTTTCTACCGTTCTCTCCATAAAGACTTTTAAATAAAATTGGATATTTACTTCAATCATCGAAATTAAATTAATAATGAAGACTACCGGCAATTTTTCTGCAGATTTTATTATAGTTCCGCAACGATTTTAGCATATTTTTCCGAAATTGTTATTAAATGTACTGTTATTTTCAAATTATTAAAAAAAACTCTTATTTTAATTTTTAAAAAAAGTTTGATAAATATTGAAATAACAGATGTGTGCAATTTTATACCAATTCTGATGGAAAATTAATATTTTTTCTTCCATCATTTTTGTAACTATTAACGTTTCAAATCCATATGTTTCTTCAGTTTTCTTCTGTAATTTTGAAATCTCTTGTGACCAATAAAGATCTATCGCTTCTCAAGCACAGGCTATCCAGAAAGTTCTTAAAATTCCAAAGGTTTCCCCGAAACTTTTCCGAAGTTTAAGTACGTCACGGAATCAAGACGGGTTGCGTCGAATTACGAGGATTGTGAGAATTACGGCCCCGCTGAAGATCACGAAGAAACAGTTGGGGACCGAGAAAGGAGGCATATCACGTCGCAGGTGCGCACTTGGCGCTCGTCGGCGGCGAACTGGTTGGTCCGCGAGTAAAACTCGGGAGACTGTAGTCGCGGTTAAGTCTCACATATTAAACATTTTGTAGCTATAGGCGCGATCGTAATCCGATGGCAGTTACCCAAGATCTAAAAAGGGCCGAATGTCAAGCTCAGTACGTGTAAATCGTGCATACCATCGTATCCGGTCGGGTCCATCGCCAGCGAAGTCACCCTCGACGGCCGTAGCTCCCACAAGGGATGCGTTAATGTTCCACTTAATGTTCGCAACGCTCGTGTTTCATTCTTGTTTAATATTTGATAAATAACAAGGATGGAATGATATTCGCGAAAATAGTCTCAAAGTTATTTAATATAAAGTTATTTAATATAAAGAATTGTTTCTTTCTTGATTTTTTTAAATTAAAATATAAAAATATACTTTTGAGAAAAATACAAATTTATTTGATTTCAAGAAATGATGTTCAAATCAAAGAAATTTTTCTTTAACCAAAAGCAATGCACAAATTTTTTTATTCAAATAGATTTCTTTTAATCAAAGAAACCTTTTTCTAGGTGTTACAAATGTTAAATAATCGCACTTAAGAAGAAATATCGAAGTTCCATTAAACAGTTTCTACCTTCTCGAAACAGATAAGAGAAAAATTAATAGCGTTAATAAAGTCTAAAAAACGTTCAAGAAATATTTAAAAAATATTTAACGTGTAAGATTGCATTTTTCAAATGTTGTGTCTTTACAAATATGTTTTACACTCTCATGTGTCATTTGTGAGAATTAGCTCGAATCTACAATAGATTTTTAATCCTTAAGCTATAAGAAATGGACGAATCACAATCAATTATTTTCCTCGCATTCGATTGTAACTGGCCAATTTTTTATGGCTTAAGGCTTAAAACACCTATTGTAGATTCGGACTAAACGATAAGAAAAAAATAAACAAATTAAACGATTTTCATATATCAAGAAACTTTTGCAGTACTTTTATTTTGTTTTAGTCAATTATATAATTATTGAGTTCATAATTTTATAAATTTCAAACTATTTTTATTATTTAAATATAATACCTTAAATGTTTTACTCCACTACAACAATGCAAAGCTTTGTATACAATGTTATAACTAAAAATTTTAATTTAATTAGAAAATTACGAAATTAAAAAAATCTTTTGTAATTTATGCGTTTAATGTAATCTATGATATACAACTGATTTACATGTTAACGAACGATTAAATTGTTTCGAATATTGAAAATAATCCAACTTAAAATCGAAATGTCTATTATATGTATACGTTATATGTATTGGGTTGTCCGGAAAGTTCGTCGACTAAAATTTAAATTTTAGTATACATTTATTAAATTAAAATTTTCTGCGTTTCAATTTTCCTTCAACATCGGCACGAACTTTCCGGACAACCCAATATATAAGAATTGAATACCCAGCAAACGAGAATGGATTAAAATGGATTAAAATTGTTTTTCTATCCGAATGCGTATTTTAAATAGCGAATACTTTTTTTGGATTTAATTATACTATAAATTCATTTATACTATAAATGAATAAAAATGCATTCAGGATTGAAAAGCATTCATTTTAATTGATTTGTGAATCAATATTTCTGAAATCTGAATCCATTTTAATTCATTTCAATCCATTCTTGCTGGGTAGATATTTGTAGAATTTGCGTTTGATGGCTTTTAGGCTTTTTTATTAGTTAGTATAGTTAACTTTATTCAAAGTGTCATTATCTTTTTTATGATTTTGTTTAAATTCATCTGAATTTTTCCTAATTTTATCGAACAATTTCAGACTTCAGCAAACGAGGATGGATTGAATTGGCATGGATTGAAATGAATTGAAATGAATTCAGATTTTCAGAAATATTCACGAATGTTAAAATGAATGCTTTTCAATTCTGAATGCATTTTTATTCATTTATAGGAATTGTATGAAGTATATCTCTATGCCTTTCAATCTAAAAATAATTAGCTTTTTCTGTGCACACAAACACAATTGTGAATACTGTTCAATTCAAAATTTTGAATAGGAAATGCAGTTTTTCAATCCATTTGCATCCAATTGAATCCAAAAAAAATATTCGCTATTTAAAATACGCGTTCGGATAGAAAAAAATTTCAATCCATTTTAATCCATTTTCATTTGCTGGAACGCAGAAATACAGTTTCCAAGCTACAGATCTAAATTTGAAAAATCAAGAAAAATGACTTGTGGCGCTATCCTACAACAGAACTCTGAATCATAATTAAGAGTAGGTGATAATTATCTTCTGAAGATAATAAAATATTTGAACAATGTGTGTCGTTTATGAGGATTATTATAACCTAACATTTCTAGGTTTAAGAAGCTTAGTAAGATTATTAAAAAAAGATTACTAAATATATCAAAGACATAGTATCCAAACATCATATAATTTCAAAGAGAGTTGAAGTAGAAAGAAGATTTTTCTCTGGTTAAAGATTTACAAGTTCTGTTTATTAATCAGTGGAAACAATAAAAAAACTTGTCATTGACATTGACCAGTATTGACGAAGCGAAGCGCAATACGAAACATTATTACCAATTTGTAAACTTCTTTTTATCATGGAGCGTGACAATTCGATATTGATGCAAAAGCAGGTGCGAGATAATTCGGAAGATTTACAGAGTGAATTTCTAGACTTGAAAAATTGGGAAAAGCAAATGAAACAAAAGGAACAAGAAATGCTGAATGAACGCAATGGACAGGTATTCGCTGAAATAGAGAAATAGATAGACAGTGATGAATAATATTGAGAAATAAATAATAATATCATGAGTTTATTGATTTAAGAGAGATTTGAATATATTTTATATTTATAACACAAACTATAGAAATCAAAGCCTTAAACGCTCTAATTGGATCTTAAATGCTTGTATGATTCTTGTGTGAATTTATATTACTACATATGTAGTTTTTAGAAACGCGCGCCAAAATAATTTTACATTTATATTTGATAATAAGATATGTTATACATTTTAGCAATTTATACCACCTGTCAGAAGCAAGAATAAAAAGAAGAAATGTACAGTAAAAGAAAACAAAATGTCTAAGAATTCTAAACGAATAAAATCGTATGACTATACATCATGGGATAAGTTTGCTGTTAGTGGTATCATTTGCGTAACTTGAAATTGTGCAAGTTCTTATCTAAAGATTTGAAATTAATTTATAATAAATTGTTGCACAGGATAAAGCATGCAAGAAATTAGAAGATGAAGAACAATCCGACGAGTCATCTTCAGATGAATCCTTGTCCAAAGAAGAATTGGAGAAGAACTACAACAAAGCGATAGAATACAAGCAGCAAGGCAATAACTTTGTGAAGCAAAAAAAATGGGACAAAGCGATTGCTTCGTACAGCGAGGCAATAAAACTTTTTCCTTATGATGCTATCTTTTACGCTAATCGTGCACTTTGTTATTTAAAACAAGACAAGTAAATTTTATGTTTTATGAATATGATAAACGGATTATGTTCATTTCTATTGTTATGTAACAGCTACTTAATGTCCTTATGTCGCAGTTTGTATTCAGCAGAAGCAGACTGCTCATCTGCAATACAATTGGACGAAACTTATGTAAAAGCTTATCACAGACGAGTAACAGCCAGACTAGGATTAAAACAATTCGATGCAGCATTAGAAGACGTAAAGAAGATTACAGAGTTAGAACCTTGCAATAAAGAAACCGAAGTCTTGCTTAACCAAATTAAAAAGCAGTTTGGAGATGTATGTATTTTTTATGATTATTGAGATGTAAATTTTGATAGTTATATGTATGTATTACACACATATATATTTTTTAGTCATTTATGTCCAAAAAAAACATATGTACGACTGATGTATCTGATAATAAAAAGATAAATGAAAAAGTAATTGACACTAAGGAAGATCAAAATAAAAAGAATAGTATAAATGTAGATAATGAAACTACAAAGCCAATAACTGTAAGCCCAACAAATATAACAGAACCAAGGAAAGATCGATGCATTCCAGATTGGTTACCCGAAAAGGATAATGTTGAAATTGTAGAACCTATTGAAAAACCTCCACATCTACGTTCAAAGGTAAATTTGCACTATTACGTTTTATGATATATATTTATAGCAATATAACTAAATTTTGATTTTAATTAGGAGCCATTGAAAAGGATACCTGTGCAGGAAGCTGATTTAAGTAAACCTTTTAAAGAGAAGATCAAAATAACATGTAATAACAATCAAATAGAACTGAAAAGCAATGCAACATGTAAATCAGAAGAAAACTTTATTAAAAATTGCGAAGAAATGCCTCCTATCCCTACCAATTCAGTACAGTTCTTAATAAATTGGAAAAAATATACCTCGTTTGATTTTCGATACAGATATTTAAAGGTAAGTAAAAAAATTTTCATATGAAGAATACGAGTATATTGAATTTTTTTTAGCAAATACCATCAGGTAGCCTGCCCAAAATATTTCAAGATTCAATGGAAACTGATATCTTCAGTGGTATTTTAACAACACTCAAGACAGAATTTATGAAACGGAAGGAACCTATATTTTCATATTTAAAAGATCTCAGTAATATTAAGAGATTTAGGGCATTTATTATGTTCATCAATAACTCTGAAAAACAAGGTGTGTACAATGATGCACATTTTATCTTGTATAATGAATGTAAAAATAATACTAGCTTAAAATATTTTTAGATCTGAAGCTTATGTTCTCGTATTGCAATACATCTGAAAAGATATCTGAGGAAGAAATTACAGATTTACAAGATAAATATGAAATTTAACAAAACTTGTTTAAATTCTAATAAAAAAGTTACAAATAAAAATGAGGTACTTAAATATTATAACAGATATGGATTTTGTTGACAAATGAATAAATTTTTTTTTTAATTATGTGCAAACATTTACTCATTATATTTTATGATTAGTTTTAAGAAAAAAATTTGTTATAGAAAATTTCTAAAAATTTATCTATATTTTAATATATATA